CTGTTTAGATATTATCTCTCCATCGTCTTTTTGGTCTGTGACCATTCATCTCCCTGGTGTATACAATTTTTACTTCTCTGTCATCTAACATGTCAGCGTCATGAAGAATAGAATAGTGGAGATGTTGAAATTAACATAATTGGATGTTGACATCATAATGGACAGATTCTGAGATTAACACAATTAGGTATTAACATGATAACATAGTTTAAAATGAGATTAAAGTAACAGGAGTTAGTATTATAACAGAGAGATGCTAAGATTGAAATAAAGTGAATGTTTATAAAAGATACACGTTGAGATTACAATAACTGGATACTTATATTAATGCTAATATTAAAATAACCAGATGCTGAAATTATAACAGATAGATGTTGATATTAAAATAATTAAATGTTGAGATTAGAATTGATACATGATAAAAATTAAACTAGTTAGTTAATCGTCAGTCATTTCTAACTTTACTGTAGACAGGCTGCTCCATAAATTGCTCCATCCTGTGCCAGTGGAAATAAAAAAAAAAATGAAGCTTGCGCTGTCTTATTTGAAAACTGGTGAAAAAAAGGTCAGTTCCAGCAAAATCTTGAAGCTTGCACATGCAAAGTAAATGCATAAGGCAGCTGTAAGATGTGCTAACTCTAAAAAAAAAAAACACCAAAACTGCAGCTCGCTGCTGATGCAAGCAGACAGTTAAGAAAGACAGCTTTGCACATGCTATACTGCAAAAGTACATGCCACCTGGCCACTAGGCATTTTTAGTGCAGTTCAGGACATAGAGCAGTTGCCGGTACAATAGAAAAAAAAATGTCATATGAAATCCACAGGTGAGCACTCAACCCAGTAGCTGGATGACGGAACCTTTGGCTTCCGGTCCAGAAATGGGGAATTTGCATTAGCAAAACTTGGCTGGAAACAAAAGAAACTTGTAAGAGCATCAGCGGTATGCTGGCAATCTGCCAGATTGGACTGGAAGTTTGAGATTAAAATAAGAACAGCTAAAGGTTGGGATACATACATAACTCGATGTTAGGATCAACAATAAGTAATGTTGATATCAAAATTAAAACTGCTAACAATAAAATCTTAAGATCAATATATAGCTGCAAGTTGAGCTTAACAATAAGTTGAGATTATAATAAACATAGCTTGATGCTGAGATTAAATATAAGCCTGATGTTATCATCAAAACAGCTTCAGGCTGGGACTAAAACAGTCTGTCAAAATAGTGGAAAATGACAGGAACAAAATGAACATAAAATGACTACATACAGATGACTTATGTAAAATTTTTACAAAATGCTACAGCAATACCATCTTCAAAATGATTTCAAGCAGACGTATATAGATCTATATATAAATATATGTTGTCAGGAGCCTCAGTAACACTGTGGTTGATGTTTGCTTGTCTGTCAAACAGTGGTTCAGTCCGCATCTGGGGGAGGGTTTATTCTTATCAGTGTGGTTCTGGGGTCAACCAAGCCTCGTAAAAATGGAAATTATACAATTTTCAGAACTGGGAATAAACTGGGAAAGAAGGGAAGCGGGAAAGGGAATCGGCCATATTATCTCATAAATCATGATCTAGATTAGTGTTCTTCTATCTGTAGGCTGAGAACCACTGGAGCAGAGGATGGGGATTAAAGGAGCGGGGGAGGGGGGGGGGGGGAGGAACTATCTGAATAAGTTTGAAAACCACTGATGTAGACTGTGAAAGCATTTCACACCTCCTTAGCAGTATCTGCTATGGCTCTGAATGTCATGATCCACAGACCCGTGCTAAGAAAAGAAGAAAACCTTCAACCATCTTTCTTTGCAATTCTTATACAGACCCACTTTTGTTTTTAATTGCGACTTTTAAAATGTAGGAGGTCCGTGAGTGAACCCCCCCCCCCCCCCTTTTCAGTAAAAAAAAAAATTTGCTTTGCGACTATCTTTATGTTTTTTTTTTTAACTCAGAGTGAATGCCTATAAACTACATGGCAAATTAATGCAGTGGTTTCCCTTTGATTTTCCAATCCACACATAAGAATTACATTTTAGGCAGCCTGTCTCTCCCTCTTTCTCACATTCTATATTTGCTTTCTTCCCCACATACATACATTCTCCTTTTCCCAAACTGTATCTCATTCCCTCTAAACGTAAAACTATTTATCTTTCTCACATTCTCCCTATCTCTTTCCTTCTCTTCTCTTCTCTCACTCATTTTCTTTCTCTCCTCTCTTTTTTCTCTCGCATACATTCTTTCTCTTATCTTTCACTCACAAACACTCTCTTATCCTTATTTTACACACACAACCCTTCTCCTTCTATTCTACTCTCCTTCTCTCTCTTATGCACACCTTCTTTCTCTTCTTCTCTCTCTCACATGCACACCTCTTTCTCTTTTCTGTCTTTCTCTCAATCTCTTTCTTTTCTCTCTCTCAAATACCTTCTCTTTCTCTAATCTCTCTCATTTGCAAACACCTTCTTTCTCTCATCTCTCTTTTACAAACACCAAATTCTCTGACACACACACATTTTCTCTTCTCCCTCTCACATACTCTATTTCTCTTACACACCCAGTCTCTATTATTGCTTAAATCAATGATTATTGCATTGTCAACAAATAAATTACTAACAAACATCAACATTAAAGGCCAGCTAATTTAACTAGAGACACACTATTCACAGTTGGTAAACATTTCTCCTGCACAGTTTTTCAGCACAAATCAACAGTATGTGTGTGATTTAATGCCAGCAGCATAAAGTGTTGGAAGGTTTACACAACAAGCAGCCTGGCCATTCCAGTTTGTTCAGCAGCTGTTTGTTTCAGCACAGACAAGAGCTGGGGAAAGACAAACAAAAACAGGAAGTGGAAAACATGATGTAAAACATGAGGTTTCACCAAGGATTTTCTTCTAGCCATACACAATGATACACAGTATATGCACATTTTTTGTTGTTGGTAAAATTGCTTGAACTCTACTATAATAGAGACTTTATGACGAGCCCTGTTACCTTTTTTTTAAACACTTTGTGGTGACTATCGCCACTTTTTATTTTAGAAGAAAAAAAGCTTAGGGTTTCATTATTATTTATAATATATTTAAACACTTCTTCTTCCTATGTGTTCACCCTTAAAAGGGCATGTGTCATCCTGTGTTGTGGTTCATTCAAGGCTGAAGTATTTGTGCCTTTTAGTCTAACAGATTAGGTAATCATAGTTCCAACTTCTTGCAAATGGGTTACCCCATAGCTACTCAGTTCCTGGCATCACAAGTTCTCTGGCAACAGGCCACTCGCCGTTTGCTGAATATAAAGTTCACAAAACAAACCACGCCGTACCCAGCCGGATAGCATTCTGAATAAAATTTGCAGCTCATAGTGTCACACCATGCACTCAACTCAGTAGCTGGGGGACGTAACTGTATTCTTTCAGTTTATATATATGGAGGAAAATGCAACAGCTAATCATTGTCAGAAGCGAACACTTCCACAACCAAAAATAGTCAACCTGCATATACCCCATCTGATTTCAGCAACCCCTTAGTTAGACCTACTTTACATATTAAATTGCCATTTATAACATGTTTCCCTGTCAATTATGACATGTTTTACTGCCATTTATGACACACTACCATTTATGAATTGTTTCACTGCTGTTTATGACATGTTTTGCTGCCATTTATAACATTTTTTTCCAGCCATTTATGACATGTTGTACTGCCATTTATGACACACTTCCATTTATGAATGTTTTATTGCCATTTATGACATGTTTTGCTACCATTTATAATATGTTTTGCTGCCATTAATAACATACTACACCACCATTTATGAATTGTTTTCGCTGCCATTTATGCCATGTTTTACAACCATTTATAGTAAATGGCACTGCTGTTTATTATTTCATTTTACTGCCATTTATGTTCACTTACATTTATGACATGTTTTAGGAGGAGGTGAAAAAAAGAAAAAGAAGAAAAGGAGGAGAAGAAGAAGAAGAAGAAGAAGAAGAAGAAGAAGAAGAAGGAGGAGAACGAACCAACGAACAAACACATTTTATTTTCAAAGGGTTACAAATTGGGCACGCAGGCCCGTCTGACATTTAGCCCTTCTAAGCACTCCTTTTCCAGAGTATCATTGCCTGTTATCAATAATGCATGTTATGGATGTAATAGAGAAATATACATTATGGAATAATGCATAAACACATCATGTTTACACAATCTTACACACTCAAACACACACACATACACGTATACATACTCTTATATTTTCATACACGCACAATCATATAACAGACACGCGTAATACATACATACATAGACATACATGCACAAACATAAAACACACACACATACATACATAGACATACATGCACAAACATAAAACACACACACATACATACATAGACATACATGCACAAACATAAAACACACACAAATACAATCACATATACAGACACCCACATGCACCCACAACAATACATATACACTCATATGCATAAATATACCCACATATATGCGTAAATGTACCCACATATATGCATCATACATACATACACACATACATGCATACTTGCATACATACCTAAATACACACACATACAAACACGGCTACATATGCATACATACATCCACCAACATGTATACATACACACATAGATACATACATACATGCATACATACACACACCCACATACATTACACACACATGCATGCATACACTCACATACAATCACACATACAGATACCCACATACATACATACACACATGCATACATACACACTTGCATACATTATATACACCCACAACCACAATCATACATACACAATCACACATACATCCACATACTTACAACATACATACATACACACACTTACTAACCTAAACATACATACATATATCTACATATGAGAAGGAGAAGGAGGAGGAACAGAATATCCAGAATGCTGAAACAACATGATTCAGAGTCCTCCATTTTGCTTCATGATGTTTGGATGATATACTTACTCCACAAATTTCCACACCTCCAGCTGTAGAATACTGAAATCTTCTTCAGTGGCTAGAACATCATTCATGAATGTTGTACATGGATATGAACGGCCTTTGTTTAGGTCACTGTCCAACCACAGACCAAACACACCTCTGGAAATTAAGGGAACACTGACCATTACATAAAAGTTATGTCTTTTGGGTTATGTCTTTTGGAGATGCTTCAGTAAAGTGATTTTGTGATTTTTGTTTTTAGTGTGTGTACAATTTTCTTTTTAAATTTGAGGTATTGTATATTTATGTAATAAATGCGCTGATGAAGGCTTCTTAGTTATAACCCCGGCCAGCTCCAGATATAAGGCCGCACAGCTCAAACGGGAATTCCCGTTTTTGTGAGGCTGGCGTGGCCGGTCGGTGGGAACAATTGTAATCAAGTAGATTTATACACAAATTGAACTACAGTTTAAATAATTTGCAACATGTGTTATTGAATGAAATATTTTTTTGAAGATAAATAAATGGACTATTAGAAAACATTTATCTTCAAAATGATAATTTATTCAATAACGCATGTTGCATAACTACTAGTAGTTAGTGGAAGCCTGCCATGGTTAAGCAGTTAAGACACTCACCTGCAGATTCAAAGGTCATGGGTTCAAATCCAAACATTGCCGGAACAGTGCCGGACCTTATTCAAAATGACATTGGTTCCTGGGTGAACCTAGACTTAAATTAGTACAAGGTCCTGGGAAGTAAAGACGGGTGGTGTGATGCTGACCACATCACCCACTGTGTCGACTATAAAATGCCCTTAAAGTGCCGTAAATAAATTATAGGACTAACCCTATATGCCAAATACTTCCGAAGGTCTGGAAAAGGGTCTTCTACTTTATTATTAAACACTCAAGGGAAAGGCGAGATGGATATATAATCAGACAGTTACTGGTGCCATCAGAATTGGAACTTTTCGCTTGCTGCTGAAGATGGGGGACTGAGTGCTTATGGGAGTGTCCTGAGTGTCCTCGATTCTTAATTCTTAATTCAACTTTATTATTAGTATTTAGTAAAAAATGCTTACTCTCCAGCTCCGACGGCAAAGAAATCCTTTGTCCCGTGCATGAAGTAGTTATTGTTTCTCCTCCATGGAAATTTCTGTAGGAACAGAAGTCAACCACAACTAAGTCAAGTTAATTTTAGAAAAAGCAGTTAACATATTATTTCTTCTGAAAAAATTTGTTGATATCATATGACATAGCAGCATTCCCTCTGTGCGTATCAGGGCCACATTTGGGGAGGAGGAATACATTAACTGCCCCCTTGACTCTTACAATCCCAAGCAGCTGTCATTGGTTTGAGATTAATTCTGTCAGTATTCTATAGTTGTGGATTTCAAGCTGTATGACAGACATAACTAATGAAGACACTTTTTTAGAGTTGCTTAGTTGGTCATGTAAGGGTCAGGTCTTGGTCAGATATGAATGAGCTACAGTATAACAGTAGCCGGTACCACCTGTCTTCTGTTACGTCGAATGTTGGGCGGCTTATACTAACCCTACATCCCATATTGTGCCAACGGCTTCGGGCGTTTTAGCGCATTATCCTAGGAAGAGGAAATGCAACCAAAAAATTGTATGTTATGGTAGGGCAGACCAGGCCCTTCGCCTTAGCTGGCAGCTGGTCTAGGAGGGAAGATCCGGCCATGGGCAGTGAGTCTCATGCCTCCTCATAGCCCAATATAACACTATCGTCTGGAAAGACGGAAAGGTGCCAATCAGTTGGTCATGTGCTTAGTACTCTTGTTTCCACAGCAAGATGCATTTGTCAGTTGGAGGTAACAGGTTCCTAATCCAACAGGGTAGCTACAGTTTTCAGTTTGCATGCTTTTCAGTGTATCCTTCTATCTTTCTACTTCTTTCTATAAGTGCTAATCAATACACTATCTCTTTGTTCATTATATTTAATGTTTCTACGGTCTCAATAGTTCCTTATCTGTTTTATTTCTGTCAGTTACTTATATCCCAAGGAGCTAAGCACAAAAGCATTAAATATTTAGGTTTAAAGAAGTTAGCAGAGACAACATTAAACAAAAGTGGTTAAACTGGTAATTCAGACACAATGATTTGATTTGATTGAAGAACCGACATCACAGCACTCGGGGCATTCTCATAAGCACTCCATCCCCCATCTTCAGCAGCCAGCGAAGAGTTCCGATACTAATGGTGCCAGTAGCATTCTGATTAAATGTCCGTTTTGCCTTTCCTCTGAGCCTCGAGCATCTGCCAGAACCTCTCGTCATGTATATTTAAAAAATATACATTCAGACACAAACGGTTCATTTAACAGTTGTCTGTCTGAAGACAGCAAAGCCTATTATCTTCGGAAATACAAGGTCTCCTCAACTTGCGACTGAGTTCCTTTTTAACTGGTTATAAAAACTGTATATAATACAAAAGAAAAATTCAATCTACGTGTATATAATGATTGTATATAATGTGGCAGAAGTGGAAAATAATGATAATCAATAACATAAAGTGAAAATAGGGTGCGCTGCAGTTCCACAGCGTCTATGCATGAACTGTTGCCAATTAAAAATAGCTTGGCTATAAGAAATTAGTAACCAACTGATTTTCTGCAAAATAAGGCAGCTTGCATGGTACTGATCACATCACCAATCAAATGCTGACTGGTCTAACAATATGGAATTATCAGTAAACACCCAATTCTGGCAGAACAGGAAGTTAAGCTTGAGTTTTGCTGATTTTGTATTTTAGCTTAAGAGATTATCATTTGTTTCATTTTATTTGATTGTTACAGTAGCATTAGCCATGCAGTAAGATCTAACAGCCACTCAAAAACAATACTAGAGGGCTCAATAGAGGGTAAAAGGTAAAGAGGTAGACCAAGAAAGACCTAGATACAGAACTGGACAGGCCTTAGGTATAACATCTGACAATCAAAGCTGGTGGGCATGTGACCAACCAATGTGGAGGGAGCTGATAAGACAGTCAACAGCAACTAGTGACCTAATGATGATGAGCACCAGTCGGCGAGACGGAGCAAAATATGCCAAGTATAAGTTGAGTAATCTGTTTTGTGCGTGTCTACTTTGTTCAAATGTATTCAGTAAACATAACGGCAGGAACAGAAGCCCTTTACTTTTACTTTACTTATATTATAAATTCTGTGTTTTAGACTGACCTTAAATTCTGGCAGGAATGTAAACAAGAATGTTGCACCGGTCCCGTAGAAAGTCTCACTTTGACGAATTGTGTTACTCAAGTATGCTCCAAACACCTGTAAAATATACAAGTCTTTAACAAAGTCTGGGAAGGAAGTAAAAGTGAAGTCAGAGGCCCTTTTCATGCTGGTGCCAGATTGGGCACATGGTGCTGACTCATATTTTTCACTGACCAATCAGCGATGTGATCAACATCATGATAGCCATCTATACTTCCCAGGATATTTTCTGGTACCCATTTTATGCTGGGTCAACCTGAGAGCCAAGGTCAATTTTCAAAACAAAAGAAAACACCAAAAAAAAAAAAATGCACCTTGACGTGGATTTGAACTCAGGCCTGTGGGCTGGCACAGAAGTGTCTAGCTGCTATGTTACCATGGCTCCTAAACAGAATTAAAGGGAATCACCCTTTTGCCCTGAGAACCTGAAAACTGATACAATTCCCCATAAATGTCACTTTTCCAACTTGTATGTAGTGACCTGTTTAGGAGCTGCAAAGCTAATGCTACTGACTCAGTTTGCGACTGCGCACATATTTAGGATGTTAGGATATGAATTTATTACCTAATAAATAAACTGGGGGTGGGGGGGGGGGGGGGGGGAGCGGCCTTTACTTTAGCTAAATGCCATTTTTTTAAGCCAGGTTGACTGCAGAACACAGCATAAGTCATCTGACATCTGTGTATTTTTTAGGCCCCTGTGGGAATGTATTACATTTAATCTTCACACTATTTGTGTTTACTGATCACTCCCTGCAAAATCTTTATATATTTGGACAAATTATTTTCAAATGTAGATAAACATGTTTTTAACAAATTCATTAATAAACCTATTGTTGTTTTTAAAGGTTTTTTCAATATAATTCTTAAGGGGTCATGACCTTTGTTGTCTTTTAAAAAAAAAAGTGTTTCCAGGGCTAAAGGGTTGATTATCCTTGCACTGGAACTCAAAGGGAAAAAAGGTGAAGATTTAAAAATATATATATATACATATATGTATATATATATACAGAGGAGAATTCACTATCGCCATCAAGTGCCCTGATGACTGGAATGGGCAATAATGCCTTTCCCCAACCTGAGATTTCCAACAGCAGTTATCAGCTGCCACCCCTCCATGCCGTGATGAAAGGCTGACACCCCTCCATGCCGTGACAAAAGCAATACCCTTCCATGCCGTGATGAAAGCGACACCCCTCCATGCCGTGATGAAAGCCACATACCTCCACGCCATGATGAAAGGCTGACACCCCTCCATGCCGTGATGAAAGGCTGACACCCCCTCCATGCCGTGACAAAAGCGACACCCTTCCATGCCGTGACAAAAGCGACACCCCTCCATGCCGTGATGAAAGCGACACCACTCCATGCCGTGATGAAAGCCACATTCCTCCATGCCATGATGAAAGGCTGACACCCCTCCATGCCATAATGAAAGCCACATTCCTCCATGCCATGATGAAAGGCTGACACCCCTCCATGCAATGATGAAAGGCTGACACCCCTCCATGCCATAATGAAAGCCACATTCCTCCATGCCATGATGAAAGGCTGACACCCCTCCATGCCATAATGAAAGCCACATTCCTTCATGCCATGATGAAAGGCTGACACCCCTCCATGCCATAATGAAAGCCACATTCCTCCATGCCATGATGAAAGGCTGACACCCCTCCATGCAATGATGAAAGGCTGACACCCCTCCATGCCATGATGAAAGCGATACCCTTCCATGCCGTGATGAAAGGCTGACACCCCTCCATGCCATAATGAAAGCCACATTCCTCCATGCCATGATGAAAGGCTGACACCCCTCCATGCCATGATAAAAGGCTGACACCCCTCCATGCCGTGATGAAAGGCTGACACCCCTCCATGCCATGATGAAAAGATGACACCCCTCCATGCCATGATGAAAGGCTGACACCCCTTCATGCAATGATGAAAGGCTGACACCCCTCCATGCCCTGATGAAAGCGATACCCTTCCATGCCATGATGAAAGGCTGACACCCCTCCATGCCATGATGAAAGCGATACCCCTCCATGCCATGATGAAAGGCTGACACCCCTCCATGCCATGATGAAAAGCTGACACCCCTCCATGCCATGATGAAAGGCTGACACCCCTCCATGCCGTGATGAAAGGCTGATACCCCTCCATGCCATGATGAAAGCGATACCCCTCCATGCCATGATGAAAGGCTGACACCCCTCCATGCCATGATGAAAGGCTGACACCCCTCCATGCCGTGATGAAAGCGACACCCCTCCATGCCATGATGAAAGCGACACCCCTCCATGCCATGATGAAAGGCTGACACCCCTCCATGCCATGATAAAAGCGATACCCCTCCATGCCATGATGAAAGCGACACCCCTCCATGCCATGATGAAAGGCTGACACCCCTCCATGCCATGATGAAAGGCTGACACCCCTCCATGCCATGATGAAAGGCTGACACCCCTCCATGCCATGATGAAAGCGACACCCCTCCATGCCATGATGAAAGCGATACCCCTCCATGCCATGATGAAAGCGACACCCCTCCATGCCATGATGAAAGGCTGACACCCCTCCATGCCATGATGAAAGCGATACCCCTCCATGCCATGATGAAAGCGATACCCCTCCATGCCATGATGAAAGGCTGACACCCCTCCATGCCATGATGAAAGGCTGATACCCCTCCATGCCATGATGAAAGGCTGACACCCCTCCATGCCATGATGAAAGGCTGACACCCCTCCATGCCATGATGAAAGCAATACCCCTCCATGCTATGATGAAAGGCTGACACCTCTCCATGCCATGATGAAAGCGATACCCTTCCATGCCATGATGAAAAGATGACACCCCTCCATGCCGTGATGAAAGGCTAATACCCCTCCATGCCATGATGAAAGCGATACCCCTCCATGCCATGATGAAAGGCTGACACCCCTCCATGCCATGATGAAAGGCTGACACCCCTCCATGCCATGATGAAAGCGACACCCCTCCATGCCATGATGAAAGGCTGACACCCCTCCATGCCATGATGAAAGCGACACCCCTCCATGCCATGATGAAAGGCTGACACCCCTCCATGCCATGATGAAAGCGATACCCTTCCATGCCGTGATGAAAGGCTGATACCCCTCCATGCCATGATGAAAGCGATACTCCTCCATGCCATGATGAAAGGCTGACACCCCTCCATGCCATGATGAAAGCGATACCCCTCCATGACATGATGAAAGGCTGACACCCCTCCATGCCATGATGAAAGGCTGATACCCCTCCATGCCATGATGAAAGCGATACCCCTCCATGCCATGATGAAAGGCTGACACCCCTCCATGCCATGATGAAAGCGATACCCTTCCATGCCGTGATGAAAGGCTGACACCCCTCCATGCCATGATGAAAGCGATACCCTTCCATGCCATGATGAAAGGCTGGCCTGAACTAGTCTGCCGTAACAAAGATGACTTGTTAGAAACTGACTCAAGAAGAGAACTGATTGCTTACATCAGAAACAGATAATCTACATTCTTTGGTCATGTGATGAGAACTGGAGTACATTGTGATGGTAGGAAAGCTGGAGGGGAGGAGAGGCAGAGGGAGACTAAGAGAACAGATGCTGGATAGTCCGACAACATGGCATGGAGGATCATCTGTATCAAAGTTGATTGAAAGTACATGAGATAGAAGGTTGTGGATTGACATGACTGCCAACACCACACGGCATGGACTTTAAGAAAGATAAAATGAACACAGTGGTGAGTCAGCTTAGGACCTATACCCCATACGGAGATAAAGAGCGTAAAGAAGTAAAAATAATTCTTAGGCTTACAGCGCCATGTGTGTCCGTGATAAACAGCAGGACTGGTTCGTCTTCCTCTAGCTCTTCTGTCTTCATGTACATGTTCTGTAGTGAATATCCATGCTTGTGTGTGCCGTAGACCAGCTTCCAGTCGTAACCCACCGTCATGCTTGGTGGAAGGGATCGTAGAATCTAAGGAAACATTATATAAGCTATGAAAAAATCATGGCACTTGTAGGATCTGTTTAGATAAACTGAGATAACAATCATTGCACTGAGAGGACATGCTAAACAAACTGAGTTACAATCAGGATACTTTGAGGATATATTTATACAAGCTGTGCTACAATCTTGACACTTTCAGGATATATTTATACAAAGCTTTGCTACAATTACAACACTTTCAGGATATATTTATACAAGCTGTTACAATCACAACACTTTCAGGATATATTTATACAAGCTGTGCTACAGTCACAACACTTTCAGGATACACATGCTGTGCTTCAGTCAGGACACCTGACGAGCAGAGATAAAATCAAGGTTCTGACAGGACAAATTTATACAAGCAGAGATACAATCATGGTTCTGACAGGATATATTTATACAAGCAGAGATACAATCATGGTTTTGACAGAATACATTTATACAAGCAGATATACAATCATGGTTCTGACAGGATACATTTATAAAAGCAGAGATACAATCATGGTTCTGACAGGATACATTTATACAAGCAGAGATACAATCATGGTTCTGACAGGACACATTTATACAAATAGAGAAACAATCATGGTTTTGACAGGACACATTTATACAAGCAGAGATACAATCATGGTTTTGATGGAACACATTTATACAAGCAGAGATACAATCATGGTTTTGACAGGATACATTTATACAAGCAGAGATACAATCATGGTTCTGACAGGACAAATTTATACAAGCAGAGATACAATCATGCTTATGACAGGATACATTTATACAAGCAGAGATACAATCATGGTTATGACAGGATACATTTATACAAGCAGATCCAATCATGGTTCTGACAGGAAACATTTATACAAGAACAGATACAATCATGGTTCTGACGGGACACATTTATACAAGCAGACACACAATAATGGTTCTGACGGGACACATTTATACAAGCAGACACACAATAAAGGTTCTGACGGGACACATTTATACAAGCAGAGATACAATCATGGTTCTGACAGGGCACATTTATACAAGCAGAGATACAATCATGGTTCTGACAGGACACATTTATACAAGCAGACACACAATCATGGTTCTGACGGGACACATTTATACAAGCAGAGATACAGTCATGGTTCTGACAGGACAGATTTATACAAGCAGACACACAATCATGGTTCTGGCAGGACATACTTGTACAAGTTCATACAGACTGCTGTTCCTTCCATTACACATTTCTAGTCTGTATTTGATTGTTTTGGTTTATATGAAAAATGTTCTATTCTTCTGTCTAGTCAGCTTTTAACCCTCTGGCCGAAATATTGGCCCAACACAAAGTAACCGAAAGGACGACTGGGCTGATCGGTAGGCCCTGCATGATACAAGCATTGAATCAGCTAATCAGATTGCTTCTCGCATTTCTTGCACATGTTGGCTGTTGAATGACGGCTTTTGAAAAAAGTTTGACATGTTCTGTAATTTTACAGCGATTTTTTTAGTGGGGTTACCTGTGCCCAACAATGGCGAAAAGGCCTGATGCGTCATAGCAACTGAAACATAGCAGTGGGCATGAAAATGAGTAGAACCATGTGCCAGAAGTGTCTGAACGGCCTCCATCGGCCTTATTTACCAAAAATACATGTCTTAGGATTTATTCAACCTTCATCAATTAAAACAATTCATCCACATTTTTCAGGTTAGTCACGTTTGTTCCCAAGTTTAAAAAAAAATGCTATAAATTATGCAAATCATAACAGTTAACTTAAATAAATGTTGAGATTTCAGTTTGATTCATAAATATTCTGTTAGTTCATTCAATTTCCTTTTCGAATTTAATATAATTTTTAATATGTTAATTACGGGCTTTTTTAAAAATAATTGTTTGTGTGTAAACTAAGATTCTTCCCTGAAGGCTTTGTCTTTTTGGCACCGAAACTCCAAAAAAGGCTCCGTCTCCAAAGGGTTAAATTTATTGTTTATTGTGGAAGCTGTGCATACACAGAATTGTATAGTTTACCTACTGATCTGTAAATATTTTTCCATAGTGAAATTAATTCTGATCATTTCTATTCTTTTTTTTTTCCTGATTTCTATTCCACACATGACATTTTATATTATTATGTTTATGTTATTAGAGAAACTTGTTGCTACGGTTGCTGTGAATGAGATTACAAACAGAATGGAGTGTGAGGAATGGAAATACTGTGAAGAGCTTACATAGCAACATTACAAGACAAACAAGGTGAATGATGGGACATATGATAAAAATCTGCCTGGTGAGATCATGAAGATTTATGTGCCTACTTAAATTACAAAGACAAGTAGGACCTTACAACAACAAAACACATATGACTTTAGACTGACAAGGGTAAATATGACTACACAGAGACAAAAACACTTATGACTATAGACAGACACATATGACTATAGACAGACAAAAACACACATGACTAAAGACTTACAAGGGAACTATTACCAAAGACAAAGACACATAGGACTTCAGACAGACACCTTTGAAGCCTGAGTGCTTTTGCTTGAGTGGCAAGGAACAACCAACTGCAGACAAAAAAGCCAGTAAATTGGATGTACATGAAAAAACTCAGGGCCTGCCACAAAGCCAAATTCCAAATGGGCAACAATCAGTACTTTCCACAGGAGGAGTTCTACAGCGGGAGAATACAAACAAACATACAAACAAAACACTATAGACCACCAAAGACAAGGTGATTATCAACAAAGACAAGTATGTCTGTCAACAGACGAGTATAATCACAGACTTACAGCTCGCATATATTCAGGATTAATGATGACAGTTGGACCAATCAGCTCTGGAGGGCTACTATCATCAATAGTATCTTGTCTATAAAGAGACTGCTGCTTCTCTGCTCCATAAATTTCCTCTTTGCTGAGGATCTGCAGAAAGATGCAATAGGTAAATAATGCTGACAAACCCTTCAGGCTAAAGACTGATCTTGGAATTTGGTCATGACAGGTCTAAGTATGAGTGGCAAAATCTGATTTCTGGTTCCATGTTGATTGATCAGTTGTTCAACTCATTCAGCCCTGAACAGTTTTTTGTTTTTTTAACATCCCTAAAAAAGTTACTTTAACTTTCACACATGATGGCCTTGATGTGTTAAAACTATAATACCTACTATGAACAGTTTAGTTTAGTCGACCATGGCACACTGGTGTAACCCATACGTGCTCCGTTCTACTTCTAACTCAAGCATGAGTCTGAAGAATCTCAGCGCAGTGCATGATCTCCGCTGTACCACCAAGGAGCCTGAAATAATTTTGGGTAGATTTTTAACATCCGCCTAAGGCTACTCTTTTCAATTTCCAACTGCCAAGGGGATTTGTTTACGTGCGCAACAATACACATGGGTGTCCAATCTTACTACCCAGAGACCAGGGGAAATAAGTAGAAGTCCACGTGAAAAAATCCCAGCCTCCACTGGGGCTTGAAATCGAGACCTCTAGCACTCAAGGCGGACACCATACCTCGAGACCACTCAGCCCCCAATGCCTACTATGAGAAGGAGTTTAAGAAATAATCAGAGCCAAGTGAGTTAATGTAAAAGCAGGATGGGACTCAGGGACTAAAGGATACTATCCTGTAAATAGAATCAACAAACACATGATAGGTTTCTTGGTAATGAAAGAGTTAAAACATTCAGTACTAAGTAGCTGACAGTACATTTGTTGAGTCCTACTTATATTTTTATAAACTCCTTATGCTAGTGATTTCCAACAAGCTGAGACCTGCAGGACCATCCCCCCCCCCTACCGCCAGGTCTGCCATGTCCCCACATACTTTATAATAACCAAATTGAAGAATTACCAAAAAGGATTGCATTCTAAAGGTAAAGGTTTCTTAATTTTTTTCCTTTGTTTTTGTTTTGTTTGTTAAATGATATCATAGACCCCTTAATCCTTAACCCTTTTGCTCCAGGAATTCTTAAAAAGATGGTCATGACCCAGTAGAAATTTTTGAAATAATCCTATTAAAAAAAATTATTTTAAACTGGTCCTTATAAATATTTTGTTAAATATTTATTTTTCTATATTTAAAATTGTATTGCCGTATAAATATTTTGTTAAATATTTATTTATCTATATTTAAAATTATTTATTGAAAATCTATAAAGACATTTAAAAGGGGCAATCAATAAAACACGAACAGAGTAAAGCACTGAAGGGAATAGATACCCTGTGGCCTGGAGAAAAAATTTATCTGATGACTCTTGCTGGGACCTCTACCACTGAGGCTATGGGGAAAATTTGACATTAGCTTGGCCCCCCTTCCACAGCTCCAACTGTCACCGTTACTATTTCTCTCTCACAATTTTAATTTAGCTCCTTTTCTCTCATATGGGCTTATGTTCCATTAGGGACAAAGAGAAGAAGAAGAAGTAGGACAGGGCATCTAGTTGCTTTGCTGAAGACAGATATACTGACCTATCAAGTGTATAATTATATTTGATACTTTCCTTTTAAATGAGAAATAAAAGATAATGGGGTATTTTTCAGTATTTAGCTGGCGAAAGCATGGAGTTGTATTTACAGTATTTAGCTGAAAAAGTCACTGTGGTATATTTTCAGTAGTTAGCCGAAAAAGTCATGGTGGCATATTTTCAGTATTTAGCTAATGAAGTCATGGTGGCATATTTTCAGTATTAAGCTAATGAAGTCACTGTGGTATATTTTCAGTGTATAGCTGATAAAGTCATGGTGGCATATTTTCAGTATTTAGCTGAAAAGTCACTGTGGTATATTTTCAGTAGTTAGCTGATAAAATCATGGTGGCATATTTTCAGTATTTAGCTAATGAAGTTATGGTGGTATATTTTCAGTATATAGCTAATGAAGTCATGGTGGCATATTTTCAGTATTTAGCTAATGAAGTCATGGTGGCATATTTTCAGTATTTAGCTAATGAAGTTATGGTGGTATATTTTCAGTATATAGCTAATGAAGTCATGGTGGCATATTTTCAGTATTTAGCTAATGAAGTCATGGTGGTATATTTTCAGTATATAGTATATGATAAAGTCATGGTGGTATTAGTAAAAACATAAAAAGCAAATAAAAGACCATTTTTTATGACATCAGTGTGTCAGGCATATGGTGCCATGATCATTTTATAACAATCTGCTGCAATGAGGATTCGAACTCAAGATATTTGGGCTGACAGGCTAACGTCTGACCACTACACTACCATTCCTAGCTGATGGTGTGGCGCTCAACTCTTTCAGTACCATGCAAATCAACCCTAAGTTTATAGTTTTCTATTTAAATGTTTAAATCAAAAGGTCTAAGGAGAATGGCAGTGTGAGGAGTTACCAGGGAATCTGGCCAACGCTCAATACTCAGGGGAAGGATGAGACGGATATACAATCAGACAATAACTGGTACTATCAGAATTGGAACTCTTCGCTTGCTGCTCAAGATGGGGACAGCACTTATGGGAGTGTCTTAAGTGCTGTGATGTTGATTGATTCTTAATGAAACATTCTACTTAAATGTTTTACTGTTCTGACCTTCTAATGTTGTATACGCTAAGACACACTAAGGTGAAAGGAAACAATACAGTCAACCTTCTAATGTTGTATATGCTAAGACAAACTAAGGTGAAAGGAAACAATACAGTCAACCTTCTAATGTTGTATACGCTAAGACACACTAAGGTGAAAGGAAACAATACAGTCAACCTTCTGATGTTGTATACGCTAAGACACACTACGGTGAAAGGAAACAATACAGTCAACCTTCTAATGTTGTATACGCTAAGACACACTAAGGTGAAAGGAAACAATACAGTCAACCTCCTAATGTTGTATACGCTAAGACACACTAAGGTGAAAGGAAACAATACAGTCAACCTTCTAATGTTGTATACGCTAAGACAAACTAAGGTGAAAGGAAACAATACAGTCAACCTTCTAATGTTGTATATGCTAAGACACACTAAGGTGAAAGGAAACAATACAGTCAACCTTCTAATGTTGTATACGCTAAGACAAACTAAGGTGAAAGGAAACGATACAGTCAACCTTCTAATGTTGTATACGCTAAGACAAACTAAGGTGAAAGGAAACGATACAGTCAACCTTCTAATGTTGTATACGCTAAGACAAATAAGGTGAAAGGAAACGATACAGTCAACCTTCTAATGTTGTATACGCTAAGACAAACTAAAGTGAAAGGAAACGATACAGTCAACCTTCTAATGTTGTATACGCTAAGACAAACTAAGGTGAAAGGAAACGATACAGTCAACCTTCTAATGTTGTATACGCTAAGACAAACTAAGGTGAAAGGAAACGATACAGTCAACCTTCTAATGTTGTATACGCTAAGACAAATTAAGGTGAAAGGAAACGATACAGTCAACCTTCTAGTGTTGTATACGCTAAGACAAACTAAGGTGAAAGGAAACGATACAGTCAACCTTCTAATGTTGTATACGCTTAGACAAACTAAGGTGAAAGGAAACGATACAGTCAACCTTCTAATGTTGTATACGCTAAGACAAACTAAGGTGAAAGGAAACAATACAGTCAACCTTCTAATGTTGTATACGCTAAGACAAACTAAGGTGAAAGGAAACAATACAGTCAACCTTCTAATGTTGTATACGCTAAGACAAACTAAGGTGAAAGGAAACGATACAGTCAATCTTCTAATGTTGTATACGCTAAGACACACTGAGGTGAAAGGAAACGATACAGTCAACCTTCTAATGTTGTATACGCTAAGACACACTGAGGTGAAAGGAAACGATACAGTCAACAGACAGATCATATGGAAAGGGCAGTCATGCCGAATTCACTGTGTTCTAGAGACGATGAGACAAAGGAGTCAGCTACAATCAATGAGCCATCTGTCACAAATAGGTATTAAACAAGGACAAGTGTGTAGAAACCGGCTGCGGGGCAATGAAAGAAGATATGCCAGTCAACTCCTGCTGGATTGAACATGGAGATATGGAGATGGCTGCTGCACTGGGGGATGGACCACAGATGGATCTGACTGATGTGTTAGCATGTCGATCATGACAACAAATAATCTCCTAATGCTTTATCTAGTTATTAAACCAAATGACTCGGCCACCATTGTACTTGCTCTACTTCTGTCTCATAAAAATGTAAAGTTTAATTTTTTTCAGATAAAAATGTTTACTAGTTAAAGTAACAATTCTAAGGATACATTAGCTCTTTGAAGACAGGTCGCCAGTTAACTGGCTTATGAAGTTATCCCTATCAGACGGTCGCTAATATATTAGCGTATCATAGAGACACTCTAATTTTGTTCCGTTTGTGAGGAAAACAAACTTTTATTAAAAAGTTTTTGAAAAATTAGGATTAACAACAGGATTTCCTTTCGTTTGCTATGTCCCACGTGGCCTTTGTGTCTTTAAATAAAAAACAAAAAAATTATTTATTTGTGATACAATTTTTACGTGATACAATTTTTACGTGATTTTTCTATACTAAATGATATTGGGGAAAAGGTCTAGAACTGTTCATACTGCTCTTTCGATGATGAATCTCTGCCAGATGGCGACAGTCTTGATATTATTATTGATATCTAAGTGACAAACCTATTGGCGATAATTTAGTTTAGGATATTAAAATTGAACAAAATATTTCAATCGGATCATCTGTTTTGATCGGCTGTTTTCCCGATTTTCGGTTGTTGTGAAATCTAACATGTCAGACACAAATGATCATAACATCTAAAGTATTTAAATTAACTGTTTTAAATAAAGACTGGCTGATACATAAATGAACAGAGAAAGCAGGTGCATTTTTAGAATTGGATAGCAGTGTTGCTGAACAAGTAAAAAAGTAAGGTAAGCACAAAATTGTTTAGGTAAAAAGTCTGTATATGTGTCCAACATCGTTGAATGTTGTGCGATTTTAATAATTTGTTGTTGTTGTAACACTGACACTTAAATAGTTTAGATTTATTCTGCGCTCATTTATCTTTAATTTAATATATTATATGTCCCGATACAGCCACTACTTTTTTTTTTTTTTTTTAGCTGTGCCGTGTTCTAGTAAAAAAAAATTCAGTGCAAAATTAATGCTGTCCAAGCCCTAGAAAAAATGTGGTCCTGAAAGAGTTAGTTAATGTAGCATGTGCCAGGGAGTGAAAGAGTTAAAGTTAAGGCAGCTGACCTTATCAGTAGGTGAGCATATAAGGCATGTACTTCTAAGCAAGATGTCCCCTTTAAGAGTTAAACACAGCCTTCCAGAGGATATAAACCAACCAGCTAGCAACTCAATGAGCCAGTCTGTAAATAAGAGAGCTAATCAACATATACTTACTTCCCATGTCTTTTCAGACTCTCTAAAGTGGTCATCCGAAAGAAGTAGATCTTCCCGGGACTCATCCCCTGCTGTAACTTTAATGAAAGGTATCCCCAAGCTATTCACTTCATCAGCATCATAGAAAAACTGTCCTCTAGGTTGTGTCTCCTCTTCATCTCCGTAAGCATCAGGTTGCCAGGTCATCAGGAAGTTGTACAGCTTATCTCCCCTGAAAAAAGAAGGGAAGCACATGTCCCTCTTTTATTATTAAAAGGTCACAGGAGCTGTTAAATAAGGGACATAATGGTAACAACCTCTTGTTTTTACTTCTCCTCCTCTTCCTGCTGCTGCTGCTGATTCTTCTTCTTCTTCTTCTTCTACTTCTTCTTCTTCTCCTCCTCATTCTTGGGTAAAGAAAAAAAGGAGCTGTTAAATAAGGGACATAATGGTAACAACCTCTTGTTTTTACTTCTCCTCCTCTTCCTGCTGCTGCTGCTGATTCTTCTTCTTCTTCTTCTTCTACTTCTTCTTCTTCTTCTCCTCCTCATTCTTGGGTAAAGAAAAAAAGGAGCTGTTAAATAAGGGACATGATGACAACCTCTTGTTTTTACTTCTCCTCCTCTTTCTGCTGCTGATTCTTCTTCTTCTTCTTCTTCTTCTACTTCTTCTTCTTCTTCTCCTCCTCATTCTTGGGTAAAGAAAAAAGGAGCTGTTAAATAAGGGACATGATGACAACCTCTTGTTTTTACTTCTCATTCTTCTTCTTCTTCGCCTCTTTCTTCTTCTCCTCCTCCTCCTTATTCTTCTTCTTTTTCTGCCTTTAACATCAGCCAAGCTAAACTGTCAGTCGCGTTTGGTAAAGGGAAAAAAAAAGATGGTGCATCTAAGGTCTACTCAACCAAGACTTCTTAGAATTGATTTAGTGCACAAGATATTTTTTCGTTATTTTATTTGAAGCTCCACCCTGGCTTCTGCTGGGGACCCTGAATATAGCCGGGGCAAAGATTTGGCCTAGCTATGGATATGGCCTAACGGCTGAAAGGGGTTTCTGTGACCTCTCCAGGGGTGATCCTCATCCACATGGTGGCACTTTGTGTCACAGGGTGTTTATCGCATGTGTAATGTTCTGGTGGGGTACAACTTACATACATACATACATCAAGACTTCTATCTGAAACTCTGACATGAGACCTATAAAGCCAGATTATAGATGCCAATCCAACAGGAGCAAATCCCAGATACCCCTTTAAATCGAAAAAAATCAAAATAGTTTCAAACACACCAAGACCCACCCACACCAGACAACACGTTACTTCATAAATGTTTTGTGTTGCGACAATGTAACTTTGCAAAATGTATAGACAACTGAACAGGGTTTCCAGGATTTGTAGCTGTTTAATTCTCATCCTTGGGATGGTAATCCTTAAGACTAAAATCGGAAGGTGGGGGGTGGGGGTTAACTAAAAAAAAAAACTATTAACATTTTTTTTATTAAAACAAAACAAACAATTTCTCAATGATCATACACGCCCATCTTGGACTGCAGGTTACTTTGTAAATGTTTTCTGATTCCCTAATAGAACTATGCTATATGGTCGAAGGGGTTTTAGGTTTGTACCTGTTTCAATTCTCACCCTTGAGATGTTAATCCTACAGACTGAGATCTTAGAGGGAAAAAATTTAAAAAAACTTTTAGCCTGGTGTCCTGTTTGAGTGGGGGACACCGAGGTAAAGATACCACAAGTCTATTATATACATGCAGTTAACTAAAGTATTACAGTGATTAGTGCACTTTCGTGCAGTGGTCCATGTTCAATACCCAGAACTACTGGTTTTTAAATCGGCACAGTCTGTCGCCCAGCTACTGAGCTGAGTGCTTGGTGCAAAACTGTGAGCTGTGAATTTTATGTGGAATGTGTGTTTTTGTCTGTTGTGCACAAGGAATGTTGGTGACTGCACTAAAATGGTGGTAGCTGATTGCATTCAGAATGACGTGTACTTCTGATGGTGCAATGCCAGTTTTCATGATTGACCATCTGTGGCAACAGTGAGTTTAAGTTCCAGTGTGCAACTGTTAATGTTGGTATATCAGGAAGCTGCCTTTGCATTTTTTACTTTTTGTGTACAAGCTTCAAGAGTTTGCTGGGGTTGATGAGTTTTTTCCCTAAGTTTCAAAGGGACACTGAAGGACGTTTTGTGTGATTTCCACTGGCTCAGGAAAAGAGTAGTTACAGAGCAACTTGTCTGTGGTGATGTTTTAACCTTGACTAACTATAACTAGACCGGTACATTTATCAAGTTGACTAAATCTCATATCATGATATCAGTTGTGGTTTTAGACTCAAATTTAAAATTTAAAAATTTAAAACTCCAGAGAAGAAACTTCACTGCTCAAGGTTATCCTATACACCTTGGTCTCTCTCTGCAGAATGGCTAGCTACATGCCGAAAGTGTTGCAGAAAGCATGAACTCCTAAGCTCCAGTGTCGATTGCCAGGTACCACCTGTAAAGTGAATAACAGGGTTCATGAAATGACCTCATGAACTCAGGAGCATGAGGCAAAATGACTTGACCACTATGCCACGTTTTAATTTAAATACCCCAGCAGTTTTTAGAAAAATTGACTTTCATTATTATTATAATAAAACTGTTAAATGTCCATAGAAAAATAAACAACAACTGTTTTATTAACTCATACTTACATGACTCGAGGAACCACAAACCAATACTCATTTAATACAGGACCAGTGTTCCAATGGTCAAAGGCTCGAGTCTGCATAATCTGAACATTTTTTCGGACACCTCGTCTGATCTGTAAGTACAAGGGTGGATCCACAAAATGTCGAGAGTCAGATCTCAATAAAAATCCTGGGGAGAAGAAGAACAAGGACATAGTATGCTAATTCTGATTTCAATTGGCAATTTTATATTTGGTAGTTTGCCACTGCTCTCTGAAATGTTTCATCTTAATAAAACTGTTAAAACTAATGCAATGTGGTCTACTGCAAAAATTCCCGCAGCTGGAATCAAACACGGCACCACTGAATTAAGTACGAAGCTCATTCACAACACCTAAGCCACAGACAATGTGTATGATTGTGCGATTAACATGCTTAGTGGTGTGGAAACTATGCTGGAATTTGACTGGATGCAAGGTTAGTGCATTTATTACATCAAGATATTTCTAAGGTACTAAGGGAGAATTTGATCTGCAAGAGGTAAAATTTGATCTGCAAGAGGGTGAATTTGATCTTCAAGAGGGAGAATTTGATCGCAAAAAGGTGAATTTGATCTGCAAGAAGGTGAATTTGATCTGCAAGAGGGAGAATTTGATCTGCAAGAGGGAGAATTTGATATGCAAGAGGGTGCATTTGATTTTCAAGAGAGAGCATTTGATTTGCAACACACACAAAAAGGTGAATTAGGCTGGCCAATCCTGTAAAAAAAGAAATGTTAAAGAAATAAACTTGGCATGTCATGCTAATGAATAGACATAAAAGATTTGTTCATTGTACATTATGTAATGCAGAGACATGTAAGAAATGTACCTGATATAAGAGGCAATAAAGAGGTATGAAAGAAATGTGTACCTGGTATGGCATATGATAAAGAGGCATAAAAGAAATGTGCACCTGGTATGGCATATGATAAAGAGACATGAAAGAAATGTGTACCTGGTATGGCATATGATAAAGAGATATGTAAGAAATGTGTACCTGGTATGGCATATGATAAAGAGGCATAAAAGAAATGTGCACCTGGTATGGCATATGATAAAGAGACATGAAAGAAATGTGTACCTGGTATGGCATATGATAAAGAGATATGTAAGAAATGTGTACCTGGTATGGCATATGATAAAGACACATGTAAGAAATGTGTACCTGGTATGGCATATGATAAAGAGGCATGAAAGAAATGTGTACCTGGTATGAGATGCAATATAGAGATATGAAAGAAATGTGTACCTGGTATGAGATGCAATATAGAGATATGAAAGAAATGTGTATCCGGTATGAGATGCAATATAGAGATATGAAAGAAATGTGTACCCGGTATGAGATGCAATATAGAGATATGAAAGAAATGTGTACCTGGTATGAGATGCAATATAGAGATATGAAAGAAATGTGTACCCGGTATGAGATGCAATATAGAGATATGAAAGAAATGTGTACCCGGTATGAGATGCAATAAAGAGGTATGAAAGAAATGTGTACCTGGTATGAGATGCAATAAAGAGATATGAAAGAAATGTGTACCTGGTATGAGATGCAATATAGAGGTATGAAAGAAATGTGTACCTGGTATGAGATGCAATAAAGAGGTATGAAAGAAATGTGTACCTGGTATGAGATGCAATATAGAGGTATGAAAGAAACGTGTACCCGGTATGAGATGCAATAAAGAGATATGAAAGAAATGTGTACCTGGTATGAGATGCAATATAGAGGTATGAAAGAAATGTGTACCTGGTATGAGATGCAATATAGAGGTATGAAAGAAATGTGTACCTGGTATGAGATGCAATAAAGAGATATGAAAGAAATGTGTACCTGGTATGAGATGCAATAAAGAGATATGAAAGAAATGTGTACCTGGTATGAGATGCAATAAAGAGGTATGAAAGAAAAGTGTACCTGGTATGAGATGCAATAAAGAGATATGAAAGAAATGTGTACCTGGTATGAGATGCAATAAAGAGGTATGAAAGAAATGTGTACCCGGTATGAGATGCAATAAAGAGGTATGAAAGAAATGTGTACCCGGTATGAGATGCAATAAAGATGTATGAAAGAAATGTGTACCTGGTATGGCATGCAACAAAAAGATATAATCTTCTTCTTCTTTGCATTCAGTTTCGTATGCTCAGATCAGACCATCAGGTGGGTTGCCTCTATGAACTCGCATGTCAGCTGCAGGTCTTGCATGGTTTCCCATAGCCTGCTCTGCACACTTTGCTCTAGAGGCCAGGTGTCTTTTTGAAGTTGCAGGTAGAGTGGACTGGTCTGCAGAATGTGCTGAGGTGTTTGGGGGGTCATGTTTGACAGGCACACTGGGGGGACTGTACAATCTTTATTTTATGCATGTGGTAGTTGAGCCTGCAGTGTCCTGTTCGTAGACGGAAAATTGTTGTATGTTGCTTTCTGTTGAGTCTGCTGATGGGGTCTTGTGGATGTTTACTGTTTGTTCTCTCCACAATTCCTTGTATTTTCCTATGATAAGTGTTCTGATTTCTGGTAATGACAATGAATAGGCGTGTTGTTTCTCCTTTGTTCCAGTTTTTGCAAGTCTGTCTGCTAACTCATTTCCTGGTATGCCGCAGTGAGCCCGGGATCCACTGGAGAATGATTTGACTGTTTTCTGTGAGTCTGTTTAGCTGACGTGTCAGTTCTCTTTCCATGATGTCTCGTGGATCCCTATGAGTCGCCTGGAGGACTGACATGCAGTCACAAAGGAAAACAATTTTGCTGTTTTTAATTTAAAAAGATATGAAAGAAATGTGTACCTGGTTTGGCAGGCAATAAAGAAACATGAAAGAAAGGTTGAAAAAAAAATTTAAACTACTAACAACAACCAGACAGTTACCTCTAGGATCTGGTCCAAGAGCTCTTGACATGTCCTCTTTGGTGAAGTGACTCTTCAACTGAAGTCTGGGTGATGGCGAGGATTTCTCCTTGATGTCCGCTGTTGAAGGAGGTGAATCCTTATCTGCTGCAGGTTGCCCTTGAAATAAGTTGGAGGTGTAGTTAAACAACCGTGAGATAGGAGCTGGTGCACGAAAATATGATGAATGAGGACTGCTGTCTCTAGACTTTGGTGATTTGTCTTTCTGGTCAACAGATGTATCCCCCCAGGATAAGCTTGACACTTGAAGGGCTAATTTGTCTACCATACTCTGTGCCTTTGATGACCATGGACTGCTGCGTCCTGACAAACTTTTAGTGATGTGCAGTGGAGATTTCTCTCGCTTGCTTTCCTTCTCTTCAGATGTAGTATCATTGTCTAATGTTGCAGATCTACTTCTGACAGATGGTGACTTTTCTTCTTCATCTGAAGAATTCCCCAAACTATCTGACTTATCTGAATCGTCAAGATTAGTTTTTACTGCATGGCAACCATCAGCCTTCTTTTCTGTCAACTGAGGTTGTTCGGCATTGTCTGAAATGGACAACTTGGCAACTTCTTCATTACTGTCTGCACCTCTTGTGGATGACTGTGAAAGCTCCAACACTGACTGCCCATGGACAGCATGTGGATGACTGACGATGTTGCTAGGAGACTTATCAGTGAAATGCAGAGGCTGAAAGCTATGTGCTGGTGAACTGTGTCCCTCTTCTGCTGCTAGCTTGTGTTGTACGGGTGACTCGTGAGTTTTCTAAGGGGAAACAATACAATAAGATAGTGAGATTGCTAGCAAATTATGTGTGAGGGATTGGGGGGGGGGGGGGGGGAGAAAGAAAGAGAGAGTGTGTGCACGGACATGTATATGTGTGTGTGAGTGTGTGCGTACATATGAGAGAGCCAGAGAGAGAGAGAGAAAAGAGAGGAAGAGAAAAAGAGAGAGAGTGTGTGCACGGACATGTGTTTGTGTGAGTGTGTGCATAGATATGAAAGAAAAAGAGAGAGAGAGAGAGAGAGAGAGAGAGAGAGAGAGAGAGAGAGAGAGAGAGAGAGAGAGAGAGAGAGAGAGAGAGAGAGAGAGAGAGAGACTAAGTCTATACCAAGGCTACCCAGAGGGGTACTAAGGTCTTTTTAAAATAAATACTAACCCAGCTATGTTCAAAACTGGAACTTCTGTGTGGGTCTGAGTATGTGTGTGAGTGGGTCAATGCATGGATATGGGTATGCAAGGGGGGGTGTGTGTGCACTCATTCAGGAGTGCATGATTGTGTGTTTATATACAGATGACTTTAAAAAATCTTGGCAGAAATAAAACCAGACCACAGTTATAACCAAAGCTGTCTTCAGCAGTGTTGAACCTAGTTTAAAAAAAAATAATTTTTTTCAATCAAACTAAAAACAACATCCTCCTTTCTCATCTAGGTTTGGGACCAGCAATGATGGAGATTTACAAGCCTACCTCTTCTTTATCTCCATCACATTCATTAGGCGATGCCCCATGGCTTCTGTTGCCTCTGTCACAGTCAACATCATCAGTTGCAGGATTATCAGGGTCTACATTCTCAGCATCTTCATCTTTCTCAAGCAGGCTCTCTTGGTTTAGCTTTTTGTTTTTCTGGCCTGAATGATAGGTCTCTGGCTTAGGAGAGTGTGCTCGCATTTCTCTAGAAATGTCAACAAAAACATACAATTTTTATCTGAACTTCTGTTTTCAATTTTTACAAATGAAGCTGCTTAATATTTAGAACAGTCTACAAAATAAGTTATTTCAGACAGACAGACAGACAGACAGACAGACAGACAGACAGACAGACAGACAGACAGACAGACAGACAGACAGACAGACAGACAGAAGACAGACAGACAGACAGACAGACAGACAGACAGACAGACAGACAGACAGACAGACAGACAGACAGACAGACAGACAGACAGACAGACAGACAGACAGACAGACAGACAGACAGACAGACAGACAGACAGACAGACAGACAGACTGAACAACTGACTGAACAACTGACTGACAAATAGCATAAAAATATTTCACAAGAGAAGGCAAAGTGAAGAAATAACCATGACAAAAATCAGGAATTTATCAATTTCAAGTGGCAATATTTATAGCATAGTGACCACTGGGGAAGCCAGATTTCTTTAGTATGTTCTGACCAAATATTAAAATTAAAAGAGCACATTATGCTATGGAGGTACATCAATGGGTAGAGTCATTCATACATCAGGATTACTTGGGGCTAAAACAATTAAAAGATCCATGAGAACTAACATCTGTATCAGCAATGACTGGCAGCACATTAGACAAAAGGCTGTGGCCTGATAAGATGAGCTATGCCACACATAACAGACCATTGTTTCCCAGTTAATGGAACAAATGTAACACTTTCAGTCCCAAATAACACATGATGTGTTACTGAATATATTCCCTCTGTGTCTTCATAAGTTTAAGTTTTGGTTAGTGTATTCTAAATAAATCTGGCAAGCCGCAGATATCTTTAATTCAAATGTAATTCCTATACCACTGCAAGTTAGAGTTTAGCTCGGCAATATGTAAGGTGAAAATAAATTATTTTTGTACAAAATTGGGAATGAAAAGAGCAGAAGAGTATGTGATATCTGTTAAAAAACATAAAAAAATAAAAGCACTCAACTGTAGAATGCAATTCATTTTAGCGATATGTATAAATTTCAATAAGTTTTTCATTATGACTATTAGAAAGGATGGGATCTCAGACAGACCTTCAAAATAAGAGAGGTTCTCAGGTCTTAGCTAACTGGGAAACAATGCCATTGACAGTAATAAAATGGAGCAGAATGAGTGTGGTTTAAAGACAGGTAAGAATTCATTAAGGTATCAGACATGATTGGCATTTCATGGAGCAGAAGGCGGTGAACAGAGACAATGAGCAGCACCAAACAGCAAGGACTATGAGAAGAAATGGGATATAGAGGTGCTAAACCACAGTTGGTGGTGCACCAGGAGCAGGGAGCATACTGGCCAAGTCACATCTACACCTCTCTGACAAACAGGTTCCCAACAAGGAGCCCGGCCAATGTAGACAGGATTGGCATTTAATTTGAAGTCGGAGTGTATCTACCTAAGGCAAAGAACTGACTGTACATAAATAAGCCATTTCTGTAAAATGGATATGCATGCAACTCTCAAGTCCTGGAACAAGACAAAAGTCCAGAAGTGGATGAACAACAAGGACTCTCCTTCAGATTTTAAAACCGGTTAACATGAGAAAGAAAATATGTAGAAATCCTTTTATTTAACCCTGGTACACTGAGAAATCTGGTCTGCTTACTTTCATGGTTTTTTCTATGAAAAAGATACTTTTGAGCAGTGGCCAATACATCTCTATAATAGCTTTGCTACTGGTTGCAACTGTATGGTGTGTAGATCTGGTAAGCATTATTATATATACTCCCCCCCCTCCCCCCCCCCCCCCCACAAAAAAAATTGAGTTACCATAAAAAATAAGTTTTGTTGTTGTTATTGGGACATCATAATCAACTTATGATGACATCAATTTGCTCTCTGTGGCTGGTCAACAGAACCCATTTTCTTGGTCAAAGGAAAGATAAGAAATCATTTCTTTGCTCCCCTGTGTGGGTTCCGGGGCCCTATTGTGGGGAAAACAAGAATAGACCCACTGCCTCCCCAAAAGCATGTCGTAAGAGTCGACTAACTGGGGAGCTTCCTTTGAAGTCGGAGTGCATCTGCCTGAGAGGCAAGGAACCAGCAGTTTGCATTCAAGAGAATCAGATCTGTAAAACTGATGCACATGCAACACTCAGGTTCTGGAACAGGACTGCAGTCCAGAAGTGGATGAACAACCAGAACTTTACGCCAGAATGTACAGCTGGTGAATGCAAAGAAGAAGAAGAAGATTTCTTTGCTCCGTTTTCTATTTAGTGATTATACCCTTCATATTTAAAAAAAAAAATGAAAAATCCATCTTTTTAGTGACTTGGGGGGCAGCGATGGTGCAATGCCTGGCAGGTTTACCTGTCTGCTCGGTGGTCACATATTTTAATGGGCCGAAAGGGTTTAAGACACATATGAAGTGACTCACTTGGGCTGTTTCCAGAACATCCTGGGAGTCAGGTCATGGAACAGAGCCACACTTTTAATCTCCTCCATGTAGACAACCATATTAAATTTCTGGGGATCGACACTGCTGACCACAAGCGGGTCAGAGACATCCGAGTCAAACATGATGACATTTGTGGTCACTAGCAAGGTGCCCTTCACCATGGTGCCCTTGGGAGATAATTTTAAATACATATTTATATTTCTCTCTTTTCTTTCATTCTCTCTTTCTCTTCATCTATTCAGTCAGCTGTCTCTCCCTGACCTGTTTATTTTTTTCTTTCAGCCTTCCATACCTCCATCTCTCTCTTTCACTCTCTATTTGCAGACTTGAGACTGGTGCAGTATCACACAGCAGTACCAAACTTCAGGTATCTATCTACTATGCCAGTGATTTCATCTGTTCTAAGTAAGTGAGAAACAGTATTTATGAGAAAGTCAGAGACAGAAAGAAAGAGAGTGAGAGAGAGAGAGATAGAGAGACAGAAAGAGAGACAGAAAGAGAGACAGATGCATGGATGGACAGAAAGACAGAGTGAGAGAGAGTATCAGAGAAAAAGTGTGAATAAAAGCAAGAGTGAAAATGTGAGAGAAATGTGAGTTATCATAAAGGAAGACAATCAGGGTGCAAGAGAAAAGGAGAGAGAAGGAAAAAAAAACAGAGAAAGAGAGATAAAATGAGAGTTATAATGAATGAGAGACAGAGACAGAGGGAAAGGGAGGGAGAGAGAGAGAGAGAGAGAGAGAGAGAGAGAGAGAGAGAGAGAGAGAGAGAGAGAGAAAGAGAGAGAGAGAGAGAGAAAAAGTTTTAAAGGGCGAAAGAACTGACACACATGATGATAACACAGGTGAGATATCTGATAAAAATTTAGAAATACTGTTACTGGGGCAAACTTCTGTTCAGGACAAGCTACTGAATAACATGTTGTCCTATTTATTCAACAGACTGACAAAATGTGATCAGAACAGTCACATAAAGGCACTTAACTGTCCCACATAGCAATAGCTAATCAGACATGAAGTGTTGCTTGGATCAACATCATCAGCCCTCTGTGTTTTGTGAATAGATATTTTGACCAGCTGACTTAATTTGTTTTTTAAAGTTATTATTACATTATGTAGTCTTTTATGTAACTGCATTACAGTCTGTGGTTTTTTGTTGTTGTTTGTTTACTGATGAAGGCTTTTTAGCAGCAACATTCATTTGATCTTTCAAGATTATATTTTAATGAAAAGCTGAATAGTTCTAATGTTCATGTGGGTTGATTTCTGCTTGGTTCACAAAGAGCTAACATAATTGCAAGACTAAAGAGAACAGAAAATATGCTGCACGTTCTGGCAGAATAAAGATTACCCCAGCAAGTGCATCCATCTCGTCTTCCAATAGCCTTCTCACTGGCATTCTAATAAACTTCTGTTGATGTTCTCTACTTGACTTGTTGTGAACTTCACTGTTCTGTTCAGGAGGCAATGAGTCAGACACCTCATCTGTGGCTGCATTTGCAGGACCAGGAGGAGGTATTATGTGAAGTGTATGGTTTGACAGTGAAGGCGAGCTGGTGATATTAGTATCCTGAGAGAGAAAGAATCCAATAAAGCATGAAAAAAATATATTAAAGAATGATGTTTGAATGAAAAAAAAATGTGTTAAAGAATGATGTTTAAATGAAAAAAATGTGTTAAAGAATGATGTTTGAGTGAAACAAAATGTGTTAAAGAATGATGTTTAAATGAAAAAAAAATGTGTTAAAGAATGATGTTTAAATGAAAAAAAAAAATGTGTTAAAGAATGAAGTCTGAACAGCAAGGAGCATCATCATCAACATCACACCATGAAACTATCAATTTGTGCATGAATCTCCCCAAAAATAAAGAGGTCTCTATCATGAAGTGGTCAAGCCATTTGCCTCGCACTCTGAAGGTCACGGGTTCATTTCCTGGCAGTGGCGTTGGGTTTAGGACTGCAATTTTTATGGAGAACCCTGGGAAATTGTCACCAGAGCTACAGAGTTTCTACTTTGTGTGACTCTTCTCTGAAGCTGGCTAGCCATTCTGCAGAGAAAGACCGAGCCACAGAAATCCAGTGCAATGAAGTGGATCCCCACAACTTCAGCTTAACTTTAACTCTTAATATGATACATTAAAAAAGTAGATGCTGTGGGCTGGCTTTGCAGCTGCTGTCGATGGTTAATTATGAATCCTTGATTCAGGGGAATTCACTGGAGTTTTCTCTCAAAGCTGAATGTAAGTGATTTTGTAAAACCATCTAATTCCCCTGTCTTACTCAAACATGAGTTATCTAATATTTGTAGTTTATGTTTTAAAGTGTAATGATGATAATCCACTGATCTGTACCTCAATTTTTAGGAACCGTCATCATCATCATTGTCATCATCATCATTATCATCAGCAACATCATTATCATCATCAGCAACATCATTATCATCATCATCATCAGTATCATGTGCCATGCTGATAAGCATAGGTAGTCATGTTTAACCATCTCACATATCACTAGAATCATGGATCAGGTCAGTGCCCTTGCCCCCCCCCCCCCCTTCCCCTCATCCATGTGGTCAAGCCACCCAGATTTTTATCCCTTTGCCTTTCTCTACAGTAGTTACACATATAACATAACAGATAATGACTTACCCCTGATGAACTTGGAAGAGGACTTGCACTTCTGGGAGTAGAGGAATTACTGTCTGTGTTCTTTGAAAGTGGGATATACAGGGTCTGAAAATAAATAATACTAAATTCGTCAACTTCAGACAATAATAGAACATCCAGGTAGAGGTAGAAGCAGTCAATGCAGCCTTTCTTTGGGTTTGAGAACAGTTGAAGCCCTGTGTCATGATCGGGGGTATGTGTGGTGATTGGGGAAAGGTGGGACTTCCAGAAAAGCACCAAACATGTGATTGTCATGGCATGCACAAAAACCAAGTGAACTACCTGAAGTGAGGGAAGTGAGCACAGGTTGCGAACCCGCTGGAAACAGTCGACGACCAGAGGTCCTAGTGCATGGTCTGGACAGCTGGCGTGTGGTCACATCACACGGGTGTAGAGTAGTGGTGGTAGTTATAGCTATATTGACAGTTTAGACAGTAGAAGTGAGGAAATTTGTTCAAGTGCATTAACTGTGATAATTATAATAGAACTAGATGATGTTGAAAGAACTTTGTCGCTGTTCATTATTTTTTACAACATGAAAGTGTCCTGAGATGGCCTGTTCTTGTGGAGTCTGTGATCAAGAGAGTTTGAGAAGTCACAGCAGAATATTTATACCTTCACGCGTCCTAGTAGTGCAGAATATCATACCATAACTTAATAATGAGAGGTGAAGGGAAGATCAGGGAGTGAGAGGAAAACCTAACTGGCTGCCAGAGAGGAGTAGTAGGTTACAGTTGCAGCTATGGCTGCATGAATGTCAGAATTACAGTATGTGACATTTGGAGCCATGGCTGCATAGAAGTCATGAGACATAGTATGTGACAGTTGAAACCATGACTCCATAAATGTCTGCAGTCATAGTATGTGATAGTTGAAACCATGACTCCATACATGTCTGCAGTCATAGTATGTGATAGTTGAAGCCATGACTCCATAAATGTCTGCAGTCATAGTATGTGATAGTTGAAGCCATGACTCCATAAATGTCTGCAGTCATAGTATGTGATAGTTGAAACCATGACTCCATACATGTCTGCAGTCATAGTATGTGATAGTTGAAGCCATGACTCCATAAATGTCCGCAGTCATAATATGTGATAGTTGAAACCATGACTCCATAAATGTCTGCAGTAATAGTATGTGATAGTTGAAGCCATGACTCCATAAATGTCTGCAGTCATAGTATGTGATAGTTGAAGCCATGACTCCATAAATGTCTGCAGTCATAGTATGTGATAGTTGAAACCATGACTCCATAAATGTCTGCAGTAATAGTATGTGATAGTTGAAGCCATGACTCCATAAATGTCTGCAGTCATAGTATGTGACAGTTGAAGCCATGACTCCATAAATATCTGCAGTCATAGTATGTGATAGTTGAAACCATGACTCCATAAATATCTGCAGTAACAGTATGTGATAGTTGAAGCCATGACTCCATAAATGTCTGCAGTCATAGTATGTGATAGTTGAAGCCATGACTCCATAAATATCTGCAGTCATAGTATGTGATAGTTGAAGCCATGACTCCATAAATGTCTGCAGTCACAGTATGTGATAGTTGAAGCCATGACTCCATAAATGTCTGCAGTCATAGTATGTGATAGTTGAAGAATCACAGTTGTGACACTTGGAGCTATGGCTGCACAGAAGTCATGAGACACAGTATGTGACAGTTAGAGCTGCTGCTGTGTAAGTGCCAGAATCATAGTATGCGACAGTTGGTGCCATGGTTGTATACATGTCAGAATAACAGCTATAGCTTTATAAATTTCAGGAGTTTCAGTATGTGACAGCTGGAGCCATGGCTGCATAAATATCAGGAGTCACAGTATGTGCCAGCTGGAGCCATGGCTGCTAAATGTCAGAATCATAGACTGTGACAGTTGGAGCCATTGCTGTATTTTTTATGTGACAGCTGAAGCCAAGGCAGAATAAAGTTAGCAGCCTACAATACAGCTCTTCAACTATTCTAAACTAAAAAATGATACCTATCATACACCCAAATCTTTCTTGACCCTACCTGTCCCACAAAGACTGTTCTTGTAGCAAACAAACAACAATAAGAAAAATTACCTTTTGAGTTAAACGCTTCAAGGTTCAAACAACTAAAAATGAAACCAAATTCATCATCAATGCCTTGGAGACCAAATGCCTCTTGTAAACTACAGTGTTTGATATGCCCAAACAGACATTTTGCCCAACTATTTAAACACAAATAATTATTAGGCAGCTGAAGGGGCAAAAGAGCTTTAAGTTTGTTTGACCCTGGAACAGATTTATTTAGTTTCCATTATTTTCAATGGGAAACACTGATTTGGAACTCAAATGGTTTGGAATTTGGTCACCATCTTAGAATGGATTATGTTCGACAATGGGTACAATGTAAAACAGTGCAACAAGCAATAGACACATCGAGAAATAAGCGACCACCAATCTGGCAAAATCAAAATTATTTGACTATAACTTTTTTGCTCCTGGATTACAGTATGAAAAATCCCCAGAAGTTCTGATTCCGAGGGAATGTACGGTCATTCTGAATAAGTTTTAATTATGACCCATGGATTCCTATGAATAGATCCCCTAATCCTCGACTCTCAAAGAATTTAAGGCCATTATGACAGACACGTTTCTTTAATATTCCATTTTATTGTAATGGCCACTGCAACAGGTACTGCTTTGTCTGTTACAGAGGTATGCGTCAAATAGGCTGAACACCCAAAAATTGTCTTGCAATTTATTTTTTTTAATCGATAGGTCACCCAAATAATGCTGCTAACTTCACTCTTGTGATTGCCAAAACTAAAAACTTGTGGTAACAGATTTGATTAAATACAATGAAGCCTGATTACACCGTATGATTTTGGTCCCTTGATCGCTGCACAGTCAAACATAATCATTTTTGTTTAAAAAAAAAAAATGATTGAATTTTGAATTAACAATCAGTCTGGACATTCCAATTTGTGCTTGGTCCCTATCTTCAGCAGAAAGCACAGAGTTATTATTCCTGTGGCACCAGTAACAGCCTAATTTTAACAGTAACACCCTAATCTCACCTCTTTCTTGAGTGTTAAGCATTGGCCAGATCTCCAGGTCACTCCTCGCAGAACCATTCACTTCAGACCATGATGATCTATCTGTGCCTCTGCAGTCGATTCCAAAGAGCCCTAACAATATCTAGCCTGTCATGCATCAGTTCACCACTAACTGTGTCAGTTCATCACCAACTGTGTCAGTTCACCACCAACTGTGTCAGTTCACCACCAACTAACTGTGTCAGTTCACCACCAACTAACTGTGTCAGTTCACCACCAACTGTGTCAGTTCACCACCAACTGTGTCAGTTCACCACCAACTGTGTCAGTTCACCACCAACTGTGTCAGTTCACCACCAACTGTGTCAGTTCACCACCAACTGTGTCAGTTCACCACCAACTGTGTCAGTTCACCACCAACTGTGTCAGTTCACCACCAACTGTGCACGGTTCACCACCAACTGTGCACGGTTCACCACCAACTGTGTCAGTTCACCACCAACTGTGCACGGTTCACCACCAACTGTGTCAGTTCACCACCAACTGTGTCAGTTCACCACCAACTGTGTCAGTTCACCACCAACTGTGTCAGTTCACCACCAACTGTGTCAGTTCACCACCAACTGTGTCAGTTCACCACCAACTGTGTCAGTTCACCACCAACTGTGTCAGTTCACCACCAACTGTGCACGGTTCACCACCAACTGTGTCAGTTCACCACCAACTGTGTCAGTTCACCACCAACTGTGCACGGTTCACCACCAACTGTGTCAGTTCACCACCAACTGTGTCAGTTCACCACCAACTGTGTCAGTTCACCACCAACTGTGCACGGTTCACCACCAACTGTGTCAGTTCACCACCAACT